TGTAATTAGGAAACGGCCGCCAACTGTCGCCTTGGTTTTGGCCTGGCCCCGGACGATGCCACGCCCCATTTACACCGCAGCGAGGCAGCGGCGGCTGAAGGCATTAGCGAAACGTTAAATACCCATGTGCCAGATGGGTAGAGCTCGGAGAGGGGGAGATTCAGGATGGGGGGAGCGAAAAGGTGACCGGGTGAAATTAAATGAATGAAAAGTGCTAGAAGAAAAGTGTAAAGCAATGACGGCGACGCCTCGTCCAGCTTCTGTCCATCCCCAGGCGCCATTTTCGCAGCTTGTGGCTTTTGCGGAAAATGGCTTGGAGAGAGAGAGAGGACAGAGGGGAAAAATTGGACACAGCAGGGGCGTGCCGTGGGGGAAAACTTCCGCGTAGTTGGTTGAAAGTTTATTAAACATTTAAATTCACTCATTTCTTTTCCGTGGGTGGGTTCTCTGCCCGTTTTTCTGCGTCTTGCTCCAATCTGTGGGGAAATGGCCAAAAATTGGAATTATTTCATGTCCGGTGTCACCATTTTCGGGGCTTCCGGTTGGGGACTCCTGCTGCGGCACCCTTTGGCGCCCAAAAAGATAAATCCCTTGTGGCCACTGATGCAGAACTTTTGAAACTTCATTCTAAACGGAAATTTATAATTTTTGGGCCAGCGACCTTGGGTCCGGCTCGGCCTTTGTTTACTGATGTCCTGCCTGCTTCCGTTTTCATTTTGGCTCTGTCTTTTCATACAAAAACGAGACAGTTTCCTTTTGCATAATTTTGGAAAATATGTTGCAGCCGCTGGAAAATATTTGAGTGAAAGTTTTCCACCATGATTTATGGTCGCATGGCCCATAGCAAAGCGGTGGCATGCCATTTGAATATTCATATAAATATTATTTTAATGTTTTCCCATCATCTTTGTGGGATATCTAATTGAATTGACTGCCACCTTGGTCAACATCCTTCACGGGCCAACAAAGAGGCAGCAAAATCAACAGAGAGCCCGAACAAATTGTTGGCCAAATGACCAGCAAAGCTGCTCCCTGAATAGATATCCTTGTCGGTAGTAAAATCGCTTTTCAACATAATCCTTTGCGAGCGCAAATCTCATTCAGACCGCTTGGCTTGGCTTTGATTCCAAAAGCCCCAAAAAACACCCACAAATTGAAAGGAGTTTTTGTTGCAGCGGCAGCAGGAGCCACGAGTGTGGCATGTACGGGCTTTGGCATTAGCCCAAGTCAAAGCCCAGGCCCGGGCCCAAGCCACCTCTTCCTCCGACTCCTTGAGGCACCTTTCAATGGCTTACCTTGTGAAGAGAGTACACCCAGAATAGGCGTCATAGAAGGTAGGGCATACACACACAGAGAGAGGCATGCCATTCAGACACACACACCCACACACACACTGGCTTTTATTAGGGGAGAAGGATCCTTGAGGCGATGACGTTGCACTCGGAAGTGAGGCAGGAATGGTGCGCACTGAAAATTGCAATAATGAAATCAAAATGTGAATGCACTTTGCATTTCCTACTCCGAGTCTGACCCTGTTATGAGAGCTGCAATGGAAATGCAACTGCAGTTGGTCATCCTCCCAGGGCACTTCCTTTGCCAGCTTTCCATATCCCCTCATTAGTTCTCTCTCATTTTGGAAAATTATGCGTCTCGGCTGCTACTTCTGCTGTTGCATAAAATTTGCATTCAAAGGCCCAGCCAGATCTGGGGGCTGCTCAGTGCGGGATTATTATGGGGCTGGCAGGTCAGTAAGTCAAATTGCATTCCCGTTTATGATTCCGACCACCTGAAACTCCTCTCAAGAAACAATTAATTTTCCCAGAAGAGAAAGGAAATGGATTCTTCTATTCCATACTTTACCCCCATCATAGTTGGCGTCACCATTTCCATTTAATTAAAGAAAAGATTCCCCACTTTCCCTCTCGAATTCGACGCGGCGAATGTCCCTTGCCTCGCACTTTGATTAAGCGCCAGACACACTGAGTGGGTCAGGAGGGGATGTGGCTTGGTAACAATTGATAGACATAGACATCGCTGGTCCTAATGGAAATTCGGTAAATTCAATCCCTCAATCCTTTTAGTCACGGTGTAGCCTTGGGATGCGAATAAAAACTTGCCCTTGACCTGATGGTAAATTGGTTTTTGTTTTTTGTTACTTTGGCTATGCCCTCTATAAGGATCACCATTTCAGCTGTTTGGGGTATCGAGAAGGGATATATTTTCAATATGGTAGCTCGTACCAGTCGATTTCAGATGCCCTGAAACTGACAGTCAATCACATCCCATCGAAATCGAAGCTGATGCCATGCCCGGTAAAAGGTCAACTGGTGGTTGGTTGGGGTTGTGTTGGGTCCCTAACCAACAACAGTACATTGAAAGAGATGTTCGTCTAGAAAATTCTATAATCATATGACCCATGGAGAGACCAAGATATTATTTAATTTAATTATTTTATTGTATGTAATGCAATAAATTTTTCAGTTAAAGTTTCACATATTTTTTGGTTTTTGTTTTTAGTTTTGTTTACAATATTTTTAAGTATTTGGTTTTCGTATTAGTTGGTACTTAATGACTAAATCTCTGCTATATCATGAGTACTCCTACCACGTCCGGGTCGGTCTTTAAAATGTATAACCAGCCCACAATCTTCCCCTTTTTCGGAGGTCGAGTGCAAATGCCAAATGCACATGTACGAGTATTTATTTCTTTATTTACAAATAGATTGGGGATCTGCTGATAATTACATGTATTGTGTATGCTTTGCTTTTTCCATTTATATGTTAATCGAGCTTATGAAAAACACTTGGAGATCTTAGAAATGTATTTTGATTTCGTTTTTAAGTACTCGCTATGGTCTCTATTCGGTTATAGGCTTACAGCTAGCAAAAGTCATGGTTCGTTCGGTTCAGGGGAGGGTAAGGGTGGAAATAAAAGTCTGAGGGATAAGTGTTGGGCGGTTAACCGCATTGTGGCTGCCGAACCGCTGCCGGTATTTGATGAATACACGGGAAACGTGTTAACTGTCTCGACACCCGTTAAGTGCGACCGCAGGTATTTATTTCGATATGGGCATTTTTTTTGTTCTCACTTGGTGCACCAGCTGCTTGCGGTTCGGCTCCGATTGTGGGTTGAATCGGGGTTTGGGCTTCAATTGGGCTTCGATTGGGTTTTGATTTCCTAGCTGCCATCTTCAGGATGGGGTGACGTTGGCAGCCTTAAAGCCACAACTAATGAGAGCTTGATTTCATTGTGTGAGGGTAAGTAGCACTTACTTGCAATTAAGCACCCAAAGACAACATTATTTAATTTCCGAGAATTTATAATGGATTTGCTGCAGTGGATGATAGTGCTGTATGTGTCACCTCTTGTGTGTGTGTATGTATGTATGTATGTAATTAAAAAGGACGTTAAGTGGATAAATAAACACGAGTGAGGCATTCTACAGTTCTTCCTGCGGGCACACGATGTTTGCATTTTGTTCGTTTATTTATTTTATTTATTTCTTTGACTACCGTGTGTTTGCCTTTCATGTTTCTCATTTTATTTATTTATCTTTATATTTATTTGTATATATGGTATATGTACGATATACGATATATGTATGTGGTTTTATTTTTTTCGTTTTTCTGTATCGTTTAAATGCAATTCATTAGTATTTGGAATACGTCTCTGGTTTGGTTGGTGTATTCAATTAATTTACATTTCTGTCGAACAATTTTCGCAATAGAGTTATATACAGTGTGAGCGAGTCAGTTCGTTCTCCTCCGTCTCCCCTTCAATCCAATAAATTTACTTTCATTTCGCTATCAATTAAATTGTGTGTTTATTCCGCTTTATGTCGCTTTGGCTGTTCTTTCTTGTCTGTTCTGTTCGATCAATGAATGTATTTGCTATCATTTTATTATACCCGGTACTCGACATGTAAATAGTTTTTTGTTTGGTTTTCTGTTTTCTGTCCTTATGCAATTTATTTTGATATTTTATGAATGGTTTTGTTTTTTTTTTCGCGCATGTTTCGAGCATGTTTGTGAGATAAGAGCACATAAAATAGAGTTTCATAAATTTTCGGCATGTAAATTGTTTGCAAATGACACTAAAATATCAAACGGAATATTTTCTATTCTCTTTTAAGTATACAAATTAAATGAATATTGATATTTGATTAACACTGGGACGGGGCGGCCTGTTCAGAGGCTTAGTTTCCATCAACACATCGCGTTGAGAATTTTTATGAATTTATTGGTAAAGGATGTTGTATTCGTTGCCTGAAACGAGGTCAAGTGTCGGAGAAGTATTTGCTAGGAAATAATAAATATTCCAAAAAAACTGTCAGTATCTAGACAGGAAGAGCAGTAGGGGAGAGGGCTATGGCTATGTGAATTTGGGTAATTGAAAGGTGCAGCATGTTGCCACATTGCAACTGCAACTGCAACTGCAAACTGCAGTTCGAGTTGGAATTTTTGCCCCAAAAATAATGACCGAAATTCCTGCACACCGAATGGATTCAGGATATCGATGCAATTGCACATCGAAATGTATAAATATTTACGGTTATACATTTATGTATCTATGCAAAAAGCAAACAAAAGGAAACCCAAACCGAAAAATCCCGCAAAAAAAAGGAATAAAATCACACATGAGAGAAATCAGGCCTAAGACTAGGGGGTGATCAAGGGAAGGGAAGTGAGGGGCAGGGGCTTACGTGCTAGTTTTCGCTTAGAGCTGGTAGAACTTACAATTAGCTGCAATGTCTGGGAGGGTAGAGAGATAGATAGGGAGGGACAGAAAAACAGAGAGAGAGAAACGGCTTGTGTTCAGGGATTTATGGATTTAAGGATTTACGGATTTATCCTTCAAATAGTTACGCTTCTTGAGTTACTAGTTCGTAGATAAAATCAACTAGCTTACAACATGCACTCGATTATTATGTGTATTTATCTGATTTCATTTTCTTTCATTTCATGCTGCTTTTAACGCTTATCAAATTGGGGTTGGTTGCTTTTTCCGTTGGCAGAGTTCTGGATTCACTCCTTAGTTTGGTGACCTCTGTCCGGTGACATGTCATGTCCGATGGCCCACTCCGATGAGGATGACACTTAGCAGCAGGGCGAGAATGCTCAGGGCATAGGCCCGTGTGGTGGCTGCCGAGGAGGTGACCGCCGAGGCAGATGATTCACCTGGGAAATATACATCGACAAAAAAGGAAGGCACACGCTCCTTTAGGGACTTCTTCAGACACTCAGACACTGCGACTCGACTCACCATTTATTATGTTCAGCGTTACGGTCGCACTGGGGCTATTCGACGGGCTACATGTGTAATTGCCAGTATCGCGCTTCTTGGCCGACTCGATGATTAATGAGCCAATCTGCAGAGTGTCCAAAAGAAAGTACAAGCAAAAAAACGTTAAAGAAACTACAAACAAAAAGAAAATAAGCAGTTTGGGGCACAGGGACGCACGTAGTCCAAATATTTGGCAGTCCACAGAACCGAATAAAGTTTTGGCTTGGGGTCAGAAAGTTATGGGCCAGGCAATTAGAGAGAAATGCGACAAAACTGAAACTTTTATCAAACAAAATTATAATTTTTTGCGCTCTGCTGTGCTGCAGACACCGACTCAATTCGACGCGAATGCGGACGCAGACACGTGGCAGTGGCAGCATCATCAGCAGCCAAGAAGCCATTTGAAATTGAGTGTAATTAAATTAAAATCAACAAGGGAGTCATTCTGCGAGGGCGGACTGACTACTCACCGTGCTCTGTCCTTCGCCTGTGGCCTCCGGCAGATTGGGATCCAATTGCGTGCGATGGCGACGAGAGTCCGCTGCCAGTTGCTCGGCCCCATGGTACCACATGATGAAGGTGGGCGGCTCCAAGGCGCCACGGACAATGCAGCGTAGGACGACGTTGCTGCCAGCCTTCACATAGCGATCTGGCTCGCCCAATATCTCCGTGCGCGGCACTACAAAGAGAGATGAAGAGGGCGAGAGATGAAAATGATGATGAGCATAAGCATAACTGTGTGTGGGAAGGAAGTGGCAGTGGCACTGTTAGTGGCGTAAACTGCTTGCTGCCCCCAACCGCCCCCATCCTAAAATTGCGACATTTGCGCTAATCTATTGAATTAACAGCTGGGGAGTCACGTAGCACACGTAAATCTGGCACCCAAAGAAAATCCACTTTTCAATTTTTCACTTACTGATTCTTGGTCTCTCTCTCGCTCTTTCTATTTTCTCTGCATGTCCCTTGGAGACTCCTCATCCCTGGACTGACTTTTTTGGCCAACAGACACGCACATGCATAACAAACTAAGAGTTGTGTCAAACAAAATGTAGAAAAAGAGAGTAGCGGAGCAGGAAAGTGGGACTGGGGCAGGCACTGGCTCTGGTTGTGGGTCTGGGTCTGGTTCTGGTTCTGGGTTTGGTTCTGGGTCTGGGGCGCATAAAAAAGCGCACTGAAACGAACAGAAACAACTTGGAAATGCTGGCGCATATATTTTCACACGACCTGAACGCCTCCGAGCGAGGCTGCCGCTCTCGTGGCCTGGGCGGACGGGAGGGCGGCATCGTCATTTGCTTGGGCAGCGAGCGGATGGTGAGACGTGAGCTTTGAAATTTGACAAAATCACGTATACGCCGAATTTTCACTGCTGTTACACAAAAATGTGTGCGAAATGAGTGCGCGTAGAATTTACACAAAATGCCTGACTATGCTCTGGAGTGTACGACTAGTACGAGTATGTACATACATATGTATATGCTGCCGATAGTGAGTCTACGAGTGTATCTATGTATGTGTGTAGATTTCCCTGGGCGTGTGTCTGTGTGTGCCAGAAGCGTGCTGCAGAAACACGCGCCATGCTCTGGTTTGACACCAAAGTGTGTCAGCTTGTCAAAATCGTCATGTTGTTGCATGTTAGTTTTCCAGCTGCTTGACTGGAGAAGCGCGACACGGGGGAAAAGAATGATGGCATATTAAGTGCGGGCTCGATAGTCGATTAAAGGATACCCTAGAGTAGGAAAAAGCCATCTGCGGAATGCCATTTAATTAAGAAGAAAATGTAAGGAAAATATAAAAGATTTCGGTACTCCGTTAGTTAGCTTAGATGTGAAAATATATATTTTACAGAGGGAAAATACTTTTAACACTCACATATCCCCTTGGCGCCACGAGCACGTTTACAGGATACTAAAACTAGAAGCAGCAGCAAGTGCAATGTTATTAGCAAACGCTCTACTTTATCACCCACGCCAACGCAATACCCCAGCCCCAGCCCTAGTCCCTTCTACAGAGACAGCCCCAGGGAGTAGCTACCCTGCTGTGAAAAAAAAACTATAGAAAATTGTGGCATGCAATGGGAGATAATTATACAGAAGCTGTTGGGAAATTCACTTAATTAACTACACACATCGATGATAGTGGAGAAATTGTCCCCACAACTTTAGATATCATTCAGCCAGAACCGGAGCCCAGAACTTAGAACCCAGAAGCCCTGGGCCAGTGAAAAGAAAAGCAGAGCAGACCGAAGAAAACCTCAAACTTTTGACCACACTTTTAGCTAATTTCCCAAGTACAAAGGGGACTCTGAAGTGGAGTGGAAACGGAAGTGGCAATGGCAATGGCAATGGCTTGGGTTAAGAGTGTCAGGCGAATTGCAGCAACTTAAATTAATTGAGTTTATGGCAAAATGCTTTTAGGGAAATTAGTTGGAGTCCCAGTCAGAGGTCCCACCCAGTCTGTCTTTTCGTCTTTAGGTGCATAAACATCACAGGGAATATTGTCACTTTTGATGGTGAGATAAATTTGCCACCAAAAGAAGCAGAAAAAAAGGGAAGAGCAAAGAAAGTAAACCCAAAATTGGCTTTGGCTGCTACAAGATTAGCAGCAAATTAAATAAGCAGACCAGAGACCCAGAGGCCAAAAGGGAAAACGAGAGACGAGAGACGAAAACGAGATGAGATGAGCTGAACGGAAAACGAATCTCATAAAACCAAATCTAGTTTGTCGTTCAATGATGCAGAAAAAAATATATTCATTCGCTCGTTCAGGACACCAGAATGTGGCGGGGGTTACTATGGGTGTGAATTGTACTTTATATTTTGTTGGGGTGTAAAATACAGAAAAAGAAAGGATTTATGTTTCGTTTGCTAAAGTTTAAAAGATAATTCCGTAAACTTTTCAGCAAACTAAACTTTTTTTAGTTCTGTTCTTCTTTTTTTGACTATTAACAAGGATTTTGTGCCACTGTCCTGCTGACCCACAAAAACTTAAGTAAATGAACCAAAACCAAGAAAAAGTGACATTTTAACCAACAACAAAGCAAACAAGGCGGCACTCTCCCTCTCTCTCTCTCATTTGCACTATGAATATCTGTCTCCTTCTGGCATACAGACAGACACACACACACATACGCATTGGCATAACAAATTGACCGAAAACTACGAGGCTATTACCCCAACTGTTGGCTATGGCTCAGAAATCAAGCAGCAGGCGGTAGAAAGGCCAAAGCCTCAACATAAAAGCCATTGCCAAAGTCTTGGCATCAAAATCATTCTGAACAAAGGGGGTAACGGGAAAGAGAAGGGAAATGGTGATGTGAATGAGGTTGGGGGTTGGGGATTGGGTTGGTTTTTGGGTGGCCGAAACGAGGCGAGAATCGAGAACATGCAAAGGGAGGTTTAGCCGTTTGCACAGACAAAACGATGCAATAAATACAAATTACATGGCAAAGGCACAAAATCAGCCAAGCAGCGCGACAAAAAAAATTTAGAGAAAGAGAGAGAGGGAGAGTAGGAGAATAGATCCAGGAAAAACTGCACAGAGCGAGGGTAATGGAGCTGAGAGAGAGAGAGAGAGAAGGAGGGGTGAATGAGAGGTGCTGGCGATAATGGTTATGGCCAAAAGAATGGAAAGCCGGTAAGGGACAGGGAAAGAGGCAAACGCATGGACAAAATTCTACTTGAAACAAACAAAAGGAAAGATTGGAGCAGGACATGGAAATGGTTGAAGGCCAAATGACTGCAAATAATGGCAGAACAGTGCGGCCATAGAGAGGGGGAAAATCTGTGAAGGAAAATCCCAGGGAGACATCGCGACAGCGAGGTAGATTGAGTGAATAGGAAGTGCGCTAAAACCATTGTGGAAAATCCATGTCAGCGCATGAATAGAAATCCTTTCTGCTTAAATTTGTCGTTAGATTAACGCAAATGTGGTCGCGCATACGAAAATTTCCACTGCAAAAAAAGAATATCGGGACGAGTATATGTATATGTAGATATTACCCCGGGATACCTGTTGGGTGCCACATACTCATGTGTGTATGTATGTACATATATCCTGCCAAAGATAGTCCTGATTCCTTTGGCATGCGAGTGTTTAGCATACAAATTAGCTCAGCCGGAAATACGAAAATCACTTTTTGGCAACACCATTATCCAGTCTATTGCCCTTGCCCCCTAAAATCCTGGCCCCCAAAATGCCATCCCGTATTATTTTTTGCTCTTTCAGCCTGGCCTCAGCATGTGGTTGGGTTTCCTTTTCTTTTTTCTTTTTTTTTTGTTGTGCCTCGCCTTGGCTTGTCTACATAAAACCAAAGTGTTAGTTGGATAAAAGAAAATTCAATTTGTCAGCTCCAAATGTAAATTGACTTTCCACACTTTTTCCTTTCTGTTCTGTCAAGGCTGAGGCCTAAATTGGGCCTAAATTGGGCCTAAATTGCCGTTGAATTTGAAATAATGGGGTAATTTTCGAGTCAAGTAATATTTGAAAGTAGGAAAGTACGAAAAGTCTTTGCTGTAAAACAAACAAACCTCTACATATGGAGATATTTGGCATAGTTTGCTTCAAATGAATGCTGGAAACTCCCACAAATATTTCCACTGATTTTTCATGCGATGAGCAAGTGGTAATAGCCTCGAGTCGACTGCGGCTGTTTCCCTTTCCCTGTCTGTGTGCTGCAACTTGCAACATATCGATGCACGCTTCCATATCAATTACAGAATCCATTCGGTGCAAGAAGCGTATGGTCTGGTGCCTCGACACTGACATTTACATTGTTCATTTGGCTTTGGCTACTGTGTGTGTGTGTGGGAGTGCTTCTTCCGGTATGCAAACATGAAATTTAATTAACTTTTTCCCAGCACCACCCCCAAAAAAAGAGAGACGTGTGAGAGTGAGTGTGTGTGTGAAACCCCAAACCCAAACCCTAGCCCTATGGAAAACCAAACCAGATAGCAGACCGACCCGTAGAAACGCACGTAAAACTTTTCTCGTTAAAAAACTTGACCAAGCAAAGAAATTTGTTCGTTTTTTCTTTATTTCTGTGTGTGGTTTTTTTTTTGGTGTAGCATTTCAATGGGCAATGGGCAGTGGACAGGCAGCCAGCCACAATTTGAATGCAATTTAGTGAGTAATTTGAAATGCAGCAACCGCATGAAACATGCAAAGATCTCCGACCCCCATGTGTGACCTCCTCTCTGGATGTCTGTGGCTGCCATAAAGGCTAAAAAGTTTTTGCATTTGCTGGTGCTGTGGCGGCTGTGGCGGCTGCTGCTGCTGCTGCCGCTTGACCTTTGCCACACTGACACCCAAAAAATTACACACTCCAACTCGGTCGGAGTACTTATTCTCACTCATATTCATGTACATATTTCATGCTCATGTTCATGTTCATGTTCATGGTCTTGGCCGTGACTTTACTTACCCACAACTTGCAGCTGGACACGCGCACTGACTTTGGGCTCTGTGGAGACCTGGCACTCGTAGGACCCTGCATCACGGGCCTGCACATATTTTATCTGCAGCGTCCAGTACTTGTCCGGCTGTTTGATGGCCAGAAAACGCTGATCGGCTATAAAGACCGCCCTGGAAACAAAAACAAAAAGGTGATTGAGATGTTAGATTGTTGGGTGTCTGTTTTGAAAGGATTTAAATGTTCATTTGATGCTATAGTTGATGTGGTTCTTTTTATAAATCGCGTATCTTAAAGGGAGCATTCAACAGAAATGGAATACAAAAGAACAATGGATCACCAAGAGCAGACCCACTTAGTCCCTTCGCTAAGTCCGCTACTAATGGCCACTCAAAAGACACTCCAAGTTATTTAGTTGCCGCATTTAAACAGCAATAGCAAAGGCAGCAGAAAAAACAACAACAACAACTGCAGCAGCCTGCAACAACAGGCAACAGGCAACAGGGAGAAGAGTTGTCAACAAAGTTGCGTGTTTCGGTGTTGCCGGGGTAACATGCAAATGCTAGAGGGGTTGTGCAGACTTGGGGGGAGACTTGGAAGCAGTGCTAAAATAAGTTGCGTTTAATGTCATTTTTGCAATATTTTTGTCCCTGCTTGGGGCCACTCTCTCTCTCTCTCTCTTTGGGAAAATTGCCCTCTGCACTTCGCCTAAAGTGCAAAAATGTTTCCGTCATTTGGCTAAAATGCAATGAGAGAGTTTACCCCCACGAAAGCCCTGCTCCTGCCATACACACACACACACACACACATATGCGTTGACATTGCTTATTATGTGCCCCTAAAACCCTCTCCACACAATCTTTTTGGCCAGCACTGCCACTGCCATTGCCCAATGCCCAGCCCCATGCACTAACAAGTTTTGATGCTAAACCCCAGATTAGACCCTTGCGTTTTGCACTCGTAAAACTCGACATTTTATGACTTTTGCCATTTTCTTTGCGCCCCCTAAACTGTGTACATCCTACCCATAGCAACCACCAAAGTGCCCAAGCCCCCACATACCCATTCCCTCTGTCGCTGTTTATTTCTTATCAAGATTTTGTAGTTACTTTATAATTTTCATTTCATTTTAAAGTTTTCCCACTGGCGCTTGACTTTCTTCGCAGCGAAGACTCCCCTTCCAACTCCGTTCGCCTGCTTCCTCCATTATTTGCCATATTTTTGTACAATTCCTCTTTGGTCGGTCCTTATTCTCCGGCATTGTGTGGTCTTCTCGTCCTCTCTGCTCGTGGCTCAAGTGCTGCAACCCTAGTGACCCCCGGACGCCGCATAAGTTTTCATCTGCAACTTATTGTTGCTGAAAAAGAATACTCTGTGTGTGTGTGTGTGTGTGTGTGTGTGTGTGTGTGTGTGTGTTGGGTTTTAGAACCCCGATACAAGTCACTTGGATACATGGGCTGCATGCAACCAATACTCTGCTTAATAGCTCCTAGTCAAAAGATTAGATTCATGGGAATTGTGGAAGATTTTGGGAAGCAGATATGCATGCATTCATATTTTGGTTTCATTACAGATTTCCTACCAAAGAAAATGGGGAAAACACATTAGGAATCGCTCTCAGACTTTTTATCTTTACTCCAACAGCTCCGATGCAGTTAAGAATTGCATCTAAAATATGTGTCCCCCACTTTAATAAGTATCTGGAGCTTTACAGATCTCTAAACTAATCCTTATAAGAGGTGCTCTTAAGGGATTTGTGCCCCAAAGCACCAGCTCGGTCTTGAGAGCAAACCAAAACCTCATTTCATTTCCTTTGCCTCAGAGTTGTCCCTTCCATCTGCTGTTGCTGTTGCTGCCACTCTCCCCGGGAATCCCATTAAAAGGAAGCTCATCTCAACGCAACTCCTGCACACATGCAACAGGGAGAGAGAGCTCTGCGTGTGTGTGGTGTGGTGTGTGTCTGGGGCACGCATACCCAGAGATAAGAGATAACAAAGTAGTCAAGCAACACCTGGCTGCAAGGTAATTACCTGAACCGCCTGCCACCCACCCAACCCGCAACGACTTCGCACCGAGGCACTTCTGGCATTCATTGTGTGAGTGGATGGGGCTATAAATTGAGGAAAGCACATGTCCAGCGGGCAAACAAAAGGCGCCATTGCACGTGACATTTATATGATAGTGTAAACACATCATTTGCGCTATTATACAACACATTCGGTCTTTGGGAAGCCCACTCTCCTCTCCTCTCTTCTCTATCTCTCTGGCTAAAAGTTTTTGAAATCTATTCCCATTATGTTTTATATGCCGGGACTGATGCTGCTGCTGCTGCTTCTGCAGAGCCGAAGGACAAACAGTTGGGGGTTTCTTTGAGCGTGGAAAAGAAAACTTTCTAGATAAATGTGACAGAAGACATTGGAGCAGGAAAGAACCAACATACAGAGCCATAGAGACACAGAGACCGGCAGCGGAAGCAGCAAATGCACGAAGATGGACTCTTGGCCTCGTATCGGTGAGGGAAGGGGTGAGAAGAGGAGAGAAGGGGCAGTGGATTGGAGGAGATACTGCCATGACACTGCACCCTGGACCTGGACCTGAACTGGTGTAGTGGGGTGTGTGTGGCCTGGTGCTGGGCCGCGCTGCAGGAAGCAATCAGTAAGGACACTATCTCGGCTAAATTTCAATGCTCCAGTGCCTGTTGGCTGCCCTCTCAGCCAATGTTTGCTTCCTTCAGCCAGTCATTCATTCAAGCCCCAGCTATTCATCCTTAGTCACACAGAGATACTCAGACACACTTACTCACTCACTTGGGGGGACAAACATAGACTCGCACTGCCACACAGCCACTGTCCCGTCTTATCTAATGTGAAAGGTTCATTGGTTTTACGTTTCTATCAAAGTAATAAGCTGGAAATGTTTGCCTTGCCCACCTTATCCAATACGCTCCCAAAAGGCAAACGTGGCTAAAACAGAAGGGAGAAGAAAGCAGTGGGAAAAGCCAGCTCCAGCTCCAGCTCCAGCTCCAGAGTCGGAGACAGCTTGACGTAAAGTTTTTACTGGATTTCGAGAGGAGCAAAAAAAAGTGCAATGAAATTGCACACTTGCGTTTCCTCTTGGCATGTCATACCAGGAGCACTGCAAAGGACACATCCACATCCACACATCCAAAAGCCAGAAGGCATCATTGATGTGCAGAGCTACTCTGCTCTGTATCCTCCTCTTCCTTATCCTTCTCCTCCTGAGCACAGGGCGTATCCTGCTCTCCTACTGGACACACAGATTGGAATTGAAAGGACGGCGAAGTCTGCTCGGATGTTACTGCCTGCAGGAGCGAGCACAAAGTTTGTGCCCTTAATTCATTTTGTTTTGTAAATTGTTTTCGTCTCAATTGAATCTACACAAATAATGCAGGGAACGAAATGTGCACATCCCTGTGTAGGTTGCAACTATTAAAGGGGTCTACGGATCTAGTTGTTAGTAATAAAGACACAAACAGGTTTTGCTTTGAGCTCTATTTAAATTCGATATAATCTGAAGTGCCAGCCCTGCTCAAATTTGCGGTCTTATCGATATTTGGTTTATTTGGCAGCCCTGCAGTAACTCAAATGTCCATCTCTAGGACAGTGCGATGACACAACCCTAAAAAAAAACCTCAAAACAATTATACTGTTCCAATTGTTTCCGATAATAAAATAACCAATTTCCGTTTGCTTTGTATTAAATTTAACGCGTTTTTCCGCTTTACTATTGCCTGTTCTTGAGGCCAATTTTACCTGAAAAATGGAGTGTTCCAGTAACAATGGTAACTTGAATTAGACATACATAAATGTAATTAATTTACATGTGCTAATATTTGGACTCTTTTTCCTAAGCCTATGCCAATGAAATCGGCGATCATGTGATCATCGAAGAATACAAGATTTGGAAGAAAAATACACCTTTTCTTTACGATGAGATTGTGACACACGTGCTGGAGTGGCCATCCTTTACAGTCCAGTGGCTGCCCGGTGCAACCCGGCAGGACGGCGACGAATACTCGATGCATCGCCTCATTTTGGGCACAGACACGGCGAACAAAGTGCCGAATCACTTGATGATTGCCAGCCTGCCGATACCCAGCGAGGACGCGCAGACTGCTAGGTCGCACTACGACAACGAGAAGGGCGAGTTCGGTGGATTTGGTTCGGCATATGGCAAATTCGAAGTAGAGGTCATCATCAACCACGAAGGTGAGGTGAACCGTGCACGCTACATGCCACAAAACTCTTGCATTATAGCCACCAAAACGCCAAAGAGCGATGTCCTGGTGTTCGACTACACCAAGCACCCGAGTAAGCCGGACAGCTCCGGTCAATGCGTTCCAGATTTACGTCTTCGAGGCCACACAAAGTCAGGCTTTGGCCTCGCCTGGAATCCCAAAGAGACGGGTAAGCCCACGCAGTTGGGAAAAACCCAGTTGGACTGGTAAAATTTCTCAAGCGTTTATCCATTTTTTAGGCAGCTTGTTGTCGGCCTCTGATGATAAAACAGTCTGCCTGTGGGACATCAATGCCACACCCAAGCCACAACGCGTGATCGATGCCAAGAGCATTTTCAGTGGACACAACGCTCCAGTTCAGGATGTCGCCTGGCACTGTCAGCATGACTCGGTCTTCGGTTCCGTGGGCGATGATGGCAAGCTTATGATGTGGGACATACGCCACGGCGAGACCACAAAGCCATTGTCTACAGTCGATGCCCATGCGGCCGAAGTCAATTGTCTGTGCTTCAATCCCATGTCACAGTTCACATTGATCACGGGGTCCGCCGACAAGACTATTGCCTTGTGGGATATGCGCAATCTGGGCAAGAAATTGCACTCCTTTGTAGCGCACAGCGGTGAAATCACTCAGATCCAGTGGTCGCCCGTAAATGAAACCATCATCGCTTCCGCTTGCAGCGCTCGCCGCTTGAACGTATGGGATTTGTCGAAAATTGGCGACGAACCATGCCCAGAAGATCCCGGAGATGGGCCACCAGAGCTGCTCTTCATCCATGGTGGACACATGTCCAAAATCAACGACTTCTCATGGAGTCCCAGTCTCATTTGCCCCTGGATCATGTGCTCCGTGTCCGACGACAATGTTTTGCAAGTGTGGCAAATGGCCGAAAGTGCGTTCCTGGACGAGGAAAAGGATGAAACCTCATCATTAAACTCAAACTAGCTGCAGAGGTTCTTAGAATGGAATTGTCTCTATGTATGTACATATATACCATACATGTGAATGAATTACACATGTAGATTATCTCATTTGCTTGTCATTAAGTTTGGATTTTCGGGGCAACAGAATATGCTAATTGTTAGATTGCATTCCAGGTTGTCGTTTATTTATCATAATTATCCCAAACGGAGGCTGGCAATCATGAAAGCTCTTAAACATTATACAATATTTGGCATTTGAATAATAATTGCGCAAATATTTGCATTTGTCTTTATAACACTTGCGCCGTCTGTCAATCAGTGCACAACAATAGTACTCTGAGAGTGAGTGCCCCCGGGGCAACCAGGTATTGTGATATCCTATCCCCCGTCTGCATGCGACAGATGCAAATTGATTTATAATTTCAAATGTACGGAAATGAATTTTGTTAATTACCTGTCAACGGTCAAGATGTGTCCATCGCGCAGTCGAATCCAGGAAACAGATTTGTTGCCCAGTTGTTTGACCTGTTGAAACGAGACCCAGAAAGGAAGGGAGAAAAGAAGAGAGTAGGTTAATGGCATGAAAATAGAGGAAATCAAATTTAAATATAAATTGGAATAGGAATTAACAGACCGAACTAAAACGAGAGAAAATCAAATCTATCTATGTATAACTGGAAATAGAGGAAATGGCATTCATTGCATTACACAAACTTCTATATGATTTCCTCTGAAATCCAAATTAACCCATCGAAGTAGTTATAAGAAATTAAATCTTACATCTGAATCTTCATTAAGATTTCACGGAAATGCGCTAAAAGTTCAAGTAATCATTTACTCTTGATAACATTTCACACAAATCCAAACTCGACAAAATTGAACTTCCGGCTGCATATGTTTTAGAACTTCTGAAGTACTTAGTGAATAACTTTACATCTTCAACTAGTTCAATGGAACCGCTGGCAATACATGCTCGCATCTGCATTCAAATGAAGTCAACCCTTTCGGCAAACCATCATCTAATCCCCCACAAAATCAATGGAGTTTCCATACTATATTCGTACTCCGACTCTACGCTCAATTAACAACATTGACAACCCTCAAGTGATTAGCAAGGGGGCATGGGGTACGATGCGGTGGTTTGTTGCTCAACAAGTGGAAGAGAAATGTCAAAGTGCAGTACTCTGTACAGCAGACAGTCGGAGGGAGGAGGAGTGGCGGCAGCGGCGGTGGCAAGAGAGTAAATTAGTGCAACCAAAATGTAGGCAGAAGCCGGGCGGTATAGCTATAGCTGCCTCCCCAATGGCCACAGAAACTACATTGAAATGTAATTAAATACCGAAATGAACATGAGACTTTTGGGCGGGCAGGCAGTCGGGCAGATAGACAGACAAACCCTGGAGAGGCCTGAGAGGCCAAGCATCCGCATGTTTCAGATATTATCGAAATGTGTCGTAGTTAGTAAATCTAAAATGCATTTATAGAACACCCCCACACGCAGATGCATAGTTAGTGGAGAGAGGGAGTGCCTCTTCTATTTACATTGAAACGATTTTGTCCATTCAACACTTTGCATCAATGTACCATGGGACTAGTCTATATACAACGTACATATGTGTATGAAGGGATCCATTAAATGTTTTAGTTGCTGTCGCCGGCCTGTAATTTTGTTGTAATGGTCTCATTAGGCGTCCAATGTATGTGTCGCATTTAATTTGGCATGCGACTAGTCGTAGGGGGCAGGTGACCGGGCGCAACTGCCAATGCCAGACTACTACTTAATTTAGTTTTGTGGAAAATTTCATTTCATAGATTACTTTTGATTGCATTTGGCAGATGGAAATGGAGACACATATCAATGGGCCCAGATAGGAAGCCTCTTTAGCCATAGATTGTTCTACCTTCGAGTTTGAAATTAAGGCAATTTAGGAAGGAAACAGCCCCCAGCCCCCAGCCCCCAGCCTCCAGATCCCACCTCCACCTAGACAACCAGCCCAAGCCACATTTCACATTCCATTCTCTGACTGTTTCCTGACTGGAACAAAAGTTCAGCTTCGACAATTACAAATAAGCTGCTGCTTGGAATATTTCAAATAAGCCATTTGCTGCCTGCTGCCCAAAAAGGATGTGCTTCACCTGATGTCATCGAATGCCCAGGACAAGTGCCAGGCCAATTTGAAAAGAAGCGAACCATAGACCAATCTTTGCTCAACTTGTGCGCTGTCCATGTCCGTGTCCATGTCCACGTCCACGTCCTGGGCTAAGAGGAGTCACTCAACTGTGCCACTTAATGCAGCATTTGAACAGAGAATGAAACGAAAGGCGAATGGAGAATGGAGAAAGGAAAATGGAAAGCACCAAGAGAGAGAGAGAGAGAGAGAGCAAACTGGGCGTGTCATCCCGAACGGGGGCATAAAGTGTAAAGCCAACGATGGGTAATTGACGAAAATTGAGATGCGAGCCTTACACTTTTCATTCCTCCAACGAACTGGATGGGAAGTCCTATACTTTTTCATTCCCCTTCCGCACTGTAGCTGTAGAGCTATGGCACGATGGCGGATGGAGAGACAGAGACCATCTGTCTAGCCTGTCGTTTGTTGAATTCTGTGGCAAGCACTTAATTGACCATGACAACAAGAAATTAACATTGCTCGGCTGGAAAATTACAGCCACGGGAAGGCATCCCCCCCATTATCATGCATTAAATATTTCAGGAATTTCGCTTCTTTTTTGTTCTTTGCCTACAGGAATTTCTATTTCGTTTCATTTTGCCTCGTTTGGGTACTGGAATTGATGTTTTATGCTAAGGAATTTCCCTCGCTTGGGGCATAATAATTAGCTACACAAAGAGAAAGCAGATATACAGTCAAATATGTATTGAATGAAAACTCAAAAAAGTATGTGTGGAGAGAGAATTTGAATTTAAATATACATCTCTCTATGTTCTTACTGAAATTTGCCTGCCATTTAAGATCTTCTGGACTCTGTACTTGTCCCTTTTTAAGAGCCTTCACTGTTCTGTGCCCAAGGGTTTAGCCAACACTTTAATCCTTAGTACAAAGCTTAAAGCCACTAAATAATTAGTCAAACATTTGCCATTGGCAAAAGAGTCACGTAAAGCCGGATGACCCCGATACCTGACACCCACCCACACGGAAACTTCTGTCGGGCCGAGAGGCCGAGCCCTGCAGAGCCGTGCCGAGCCGATGCCATAAAACTAATTTGTTGAAATTTAATTTTCAGTTTTCGTTTATGCTAAATAAAATATTTACAACTTGTAAGCAAACAATTTGCTGGCTGCGTGCCTGTGGTCACCTCTGACCTGAGCCTTCTGCCCCATGCTCCGCCGGCTACAGGTATTGCTGTGGGTCTTTAAACACCTGGCCAAACAATGCGGCGGGATCGGGTGAGAAATCGCCCGAGAGTCTTGGCCACGTTTGTGTTTGGCATTTGTTTTCCAGCCTTGCGTTAAATACACACGCTGCGGTCACACCTCGTCCTGCTTCTGGTCGTGGCTGTGGTCCGGGTCCTCCTTCTGGTCCCGGGGCGTCCACCAACAAATATTTGCGCAATAAAATTTAATGTGTTTTCTATTAGGAAAGCGTCCTGGTCTCCACGCTCTCTAAGCGTTGATGAGGGCCGCCCACCATAATAATAATTACAAATAAAAACACGCACGCACACACTCTAACCATATCGAAACCTCAAACCCAAACCAAAACCCAAACCGAATCCGAAACACGCAACGTAATATATTCGTAATAAAAGGAAAAATAAAACACAAATTATGAAATTTTTTTTTCTGCTAGTTGGATCTAAGCCAAATAGATGTATGTGTGCATAGAGGGTATAGAGGGGACACTCACCCGACAAGGGAGATACGCGTGTGTACCGATCTGAGTGGTCACATTGGAGGTGGCATAGCCATCCAGATATGGTTCCACTAGGGTGGCTGTCGCCGACAGGGCGGCCGCCTCCGGCAGCAGCGAGGACACTTGAGCAAGGCTGGAGAATGCGGTCGCCGAGTATGAGGATGAGGCTGAGGCTGAGGCTGATGATGGGTCGCTGCTTCCATCGAAAATGATGGCGGTAGCTGCTGATGCTGCTCCTGTCCCCTGCGCTGCTGTGGCCTCTGCGGACGTCTGTGTGTTCGAGGCTGAAATTGATTTGGCAAGAGAGAGTGAGAGTGAGATTGAGTTTGAGAGTGAGAGTGGCTATGGTGGCAACGAGTGAGAGAAAAGTGGTTTTCTTGTTAATCGAAATGACAATTTTGGGCTTCGATTTCGCCCGAGCACATGTCACGTACACATGGATGCTACTGATGCGGGTGCTTAGGTGGGGCTGGGGTTGGCCTGGAGCTGGGCGGTTCGATGTGACAGTTGATTGGGCATTAAAGTAGCAGGGAAACATTTAACTGCAAATTTACATGGCTTTGGGGTGCGAATAACCTTTACTTTAACCCATTTATTTGGATTTATTACTTTAATTTTCGAAGACATTAGATAATAAATACTGTGTAGGCTGTGTACGTCTTGTGATGAGTAAAAAATACAGCACAGCACCTGCTTTTTGTATTTAGTTAGTGCTTACATAACTCTCTCACTCCCTCAGAGACAGTCTGAAAATGCTGATCTCTTTTACAAGTGCAAGCGGAAGATTCAAGAGATAAGAGCGTTAAGAAAAGACGCAGTCATACGAGTCGAAGCTAATGTGTGAATGGGATAGACAGAGACGAGCGGCATTGTGGGTAAGCGCAATTAAAATCACACTTGTGGGAGAGATCAACAGTTAGAAGCTATCTTTCTACAAGCGTGGAATTTTAGCAGAGTACTTACAACACTACAATAGTGAGAGAGCTTTGCCGTTGGAGGCGAGTGGTGAGAGCATAAAGCGGTGTATTTTACTGCGCTCTCTCAGAGAAGCTCCGTTAAGCCATGAAGAAACTATAAGGAGGTCTCGTCGGCAACACTAAGCAGAAGCACTAAACTCGCTGGTTCTGCCTTTGATCAGTGCTCGTTTGCTTGTCGACGCGGAAGATTGGTTACGGACGAAATTTTTTCTTCATGATTAGCACACTCCATTGTCGTTGCAGCGAGAGCCCTCTTACTCGTACTTTTCACTCGCCCCATCTGCTTAGTGTTGCCGACGAGACCTCCCTATTGTTTCTTCATGCGTTAAGCTACGCTTGTACTTGCATTGGCTCTCTCCGCTCGATTCAAGCAAGCGCGATTATCAGCTCAAGTATTTCTTCCTTTTTTCTCCATTTAACAAATTGTACAGTGGCTTTTAGAAGTCTGTACGACTTGGTTAAATGGCATAAATATAAATTTTCCTTTAAACACCAGTAAGTAAATTATTCGCTCGCTTTACTTATCGTACTTCGAGTCCTCTCCAAATGCACCCAGCTGAAGCAGTAGCAGTGGCAACACCAACAACAAGTTAACGACATTAAATGACAATGTGGCAAATGAGTGTATAACGTTTCACGCCGAGCAGAGAGGAAACACCAGAGCACAGAAAACCGCCAAGTCAGGCGCAGATGAAGAAGCTGGAGGACCACCACATCGAGTGGGTGACCTCCATGGCTGCTCTACTCGTGCAGCTGATGGGCCATCCTGTGGCTTCCTTTTAAACACACACACCATCCACCCACACACACCGTGCCACTCATAAACACACACACACACTCTCGCCCTCTCACTCCACATGCACACACACATTTGTCTGTTTGGCAAATGCCAGTTTTTCGGTTTCAAATTAATCAATGACGTTTAAGTGGCTGCCGAGCGAGACGATGTCGCCATCATGATTTTCGCACTGCTGCAAAGTTTTATAATGAATGCCGTTCATTAAAATTGATTGTTGTTTGCGGGGGGTGCCACCACATCAACACCACAGACCCAAAACCCACCGAGCCATACCACGCCACACCACACCCTTCGAGGCGACAGAAGCAGATTCGATGATTTGGCAATACGCGGAAGGTCCAGGTCCGCTAAAACGCGTTCTATTTGCTGAATTGCCAATTAACTGGCAATTTCGGCTAAAGCCAACCAAGGCAGACCCCAGGAGCAGGGTCTCCACTCCCTTCCCAGTCATACACCGAAAGAAATCCCTGCCTCAGTTTACGACGTACTTTCCGTGTGTCTTTAAAATGTCATTTATCGTTTCCAATTCGGGCTACAATTTTTGCCGCAGTGTATCCAACCATATCCATTGAAACCAATTGATTTTTTCCGTCTGCCTCTCGGTCTGGAGCCTTTATTTCTGCCCGATGATTGCACAACATTTTCGGTATAAAATTAATTTCAGGGGCCAAGAGGAAGACGGGGAAAATGGTTTCAGAAATTTTGACTTTGACATAATTGTGCCTGTCGCTGACAGTTTGATATTCCTCCTCCCTGCCGTTTTGGCGTTCTCTGGATTCAGGCCCCCGAAATTTGATGGATAGATATGATAGATGGGTGCAATGCGATTTGCTGCTGCTACTGGTTCTGGTGACCCCGAAATGCATTGAATTGGAAATGCAATTTAAATTTAAGAAAATACCATTCTATGAGCTTGAAAAAAACTGCTAGAAAAGGGAGCTCTGGTTATGCAAATGAAGGCCTGAAAAAATGTGAGTTTAAACCGGTTACGCCGCACAGGTGAGAGTTGGGAAATTTGTTCGGAAAAATTCGCTGAACACAAAAGCTAGCTAAACTTTGGCCCATGCACAATTGAATGAAGGCCAATACGGCAGCGATACAACATGAATGAGAATAAATGAATGAATGAACGACACAACAGGATACAGGATAGACAAAATCCTATCAAAGGTACGACAACATATCCCCGCAAAAGCCATGGGGGCATGGACAATCGTTTCGGGGCCGAATTTGTGCTCCAATTAAAACGGCGAATGTAGCGTAAAATGATTTCGAGTTTGACAACTTGTACGTCAATTTAATTGGTGCGAGAGCGAGCTCCCCACAGGAACATTCCCCGAGCGGAACGATATGGAGCGGCGCGGAGCGGCAGGCAGCGGCAGAAAGGTGGTAGTTTCAGGCTTACAAGTACGCGTATGCATAGCTGAAATCTGCCATCATTTCATGTGTGCCTATTTTTTGCCCTTCAGCCTCGCGATTCGTCGCTGTCCTCTCTATCGAATTGTCGTCGCTCTGTCGCTGACAAGGGCAGCAGCAAAGGCATGGCAATGTTGATGCCGAAAAAAATAGAAAAGCAAGCCGGAAAGGGGAAATAGAAGCGAGGCGACGGCAGCGTAATTGACAAAAGGTTTCACTAGCATTCAATGCCAGTGCCAGGCTCGTTGTCGTCCTCTGACAAATACAGCACGCTCTTCCTACTGTCTGTACCACACCCTTCAGCTATGCTTGGGGGGCACCGCCCAAAGCCCACCAGCAAATATAGAGCGGGACACACGCAGCACACACACAATCAACGCAATCGACACGCAAAAATTGTAGAGGAGCGCTGCAAAGATCAAAGCCGTTCAATTGTCAGTGACGACAGCTAGAGAGGACTCCCGGAAGGATGGAGGAGAAAGAGAGAGAGAGAGGTCCGGAAGAGCGAGGTTCCATCGCCAGTTCGTGATTTGTCAAAGCAGCGATGATGCCCTGAAGGATGCCGCATGCCATTCCTCCTCCTCCTCCTCCTCCTCCTTCTCCTCCTCCTTCTACCACTTGTCAGCCAAATGTTAAGCTCCAACTTTCAACCAAAAATAAAGCAGATGTCGAAAATTTTGCTTAGTTGGCATTTCCACACGAAACTGTTGATTAACATCGAACCAAATCAAATAGAAAAAAAAATCAAGAAAAAAAAATCGAAAAACTTATGAAATCTAAGCAACCTTTTTGACAAAACCTCCTTTGTCCGTGAACTCACAACATGACTTAAATTAGTACACTGTCAAACATTAACACAAAAACACCTTCCAAATTCGAAGTCTGGAATTTATTTCTCTAACGGGTCAAAGGTGAGTGCTTTGAAATGCATTAGGATTGGCTATAATATTATCCATTATAGCTTCACGAATCGAAGATGTGTAGCCCCTGTTGTGGACCTTGCTGTGGACCCTGTTGCAGTCCTTGCTGTGGCCCCTGCGGCCCCTGTGGCCCCTGTTGTAACGACTGCTGTGCACCGTGCTGTGGTCCGTCTTGCTGTGGACCCTGTTGTGGACCGTGTTGCAGCCCCTGCTGTGGACCATGTTGTGGACCCTGCTCTAGCCCATGCTGTGGATCCTGTTGCAGCCCTTGTTGCAGCCCCTGCTGTGGTCCATCTTGTGGTCCATGCTGTGGTCCATGCTGTGGGCCCTGTTGTGGTCCTTGCTGTGGACCCTGCTGTGGACCTAGCTGTGGACCCTGTGGCAGCTCATGCTACGGCCCCTGCTGCAGCCCATGCTGTGGTCCTTGTGGCCCCTGCTGCGGCCCCAGCTGCGGCCCCTGCTGTGCACCTTGCTGTGGACCCTGCTGTGGCCCATGCGGTTCTTGTCCGCCAAAGTGCAAGTGAGGATCGCCAGCGAACAGGTGGCAAAGACACAAATGACACCATAAGTTCGCCAAAGCCCGTTAGAGAATCATCCGCAAAATCAACTCTCCAGCATAGTCAATAAAAATACATAAAAAGACAACCAAAAACTTTCAGATGTTTTCTTGGGCGAACCAGAGCACGTTCTGGGGGATGCTCTGATCTCCCTGGGGGCCATGTTAATAAAGACACAGATTAAAGAGGGGCCCAGGTGAAAGTTGGTCATTTCAAAGTTATGCGAATTACGGGACAGGGGAAAACTTTTGTAGCGTATACGAAAAATTAATTAAAATATCAATTTCATGAAACATGACAGGAACAGGGACACGCACAGAGAGAGTGATACACAAGACAAACACACGAAGAACTTATCTAACAAGATGTCAACGAAAACTCCTTTGGAGACGATTCTTTTTGGGGTCCAAGTCCAAGACAAAAAGGCCGAAGGCAACCAACGATCCAGAAGTTATTTACAGACGGCGGCAGCTGACACAACTTTGCATACTTTAATTAAACATTTTACATTTTACGAGTACGAAGGATGTAAATGTACGAGGACAAGTCTGTGTACGAGTATGGACTCACAAAGTAAATGATTGTTAAATGTCGCAAACTGTTGGCTGAAACTTTCCACACATGTGGCGGCAGTTTTCCGGCAGCTCCAGTTTTGCCAACAGTTTCCCAGTGGCTTAATCATTTCACTCGAAATATTTAAAGAGCCTGCGGCCATTAGTCGTTCTCTTGTTTCTCTCTTGAACTTTTGCTGGGCAATGTGAACTTAATTAGGGTTAATTAATGCTAGAAAAAAACATGCAAACGCCACACATACTCGTAGTCGCCGACATAGACATATTGACTAAGAGCAAATTGGCATACTTTTAGCTCTAGTTCTGCATGTGGGAGGAAGCCAAACGCACACGTAGAGAAAATCAGTTCATAATGGTATAATTTACTCCACGATTCTAGGGGAGAAGACAGAACAGGAGACTATGGAACATTCCACATTATTTTCGAGATAATTTCTTACCGTTAGTAGCTAAAATATATATTTATGTTACGTTTGCTTAAAATTCTCATAAATTCAAAACGTAAAACAAATTCAAATAAGTTCAGCCATCTCTTTGGGCAGTGTATCATCGGCTCAAGCCAAAGTCCTTGCCGTGGCTGCCGTGAGGCTAACAGGAAATGAGTTTTCAAAGGCCGGAAGGCAGCAATTATGCGAGTCGCTTTGTGTGGCATTCTATCTCCCAACTCCCCGACCACCTGACTCTCTGACTCGTAAGTGTGTGATTGTTAATTGGGCTGGGAATCGGCCAAGACAACGAACCAATATCAGCACCAGTAATGGTAGATGATTTTATGATATTTCATGTATTGGAATTTAACTAAATTGAAGGCTCAACCTTGAAAATGAAAGTATCCTAAAACAGCGCCAGTAAAAGGCACGACAAAAATAAATTTGCATATCTCTCCCTGTCCTGTTCGCCCTGTGACCCTCACCCTTTTTTTTGTTGGCGAGAAGTGGGAAGCTCTCCCCCGAGTTTGTGTACATTGTGAATGTTGACGTCATGTAACGTGGCAAATCCAATTTGGCCACGCCCCAGAGCCAAAGAAAGAGCAGCAGCAGCAGCAGCAGGAGGGAGGTGTAGGTGGAGGAGTGGCTTGCCTGTCGCCTGGTCTGTTCACTCAATCTCAATAAGTCAAGGGAAAATTTTATTTCAGTACCGAAAGGCCGGTGAGGATAGGTGGGGATGCAGGAGCAAACTGACTTTTGGCAAATTCGTTTTCGTTTTCGGCCAAGTGCAGTGCAGAAAGCTGCATGCAGCATACTTTGAGGCGAAGCCAAAGAAAATTCAATGAAGAATCAAGGAAAGGGAAAGGCAAAGGGATGGTGTGTGCCACGGTGGATGCTGTGCAGGAGAGATTCATCTCATATGCATGTAAATATTTGCCTATAGATGACTTTGGCAAAGGCACCTTTTGGGTCAACTCCTCTTGTTGTTTGCCTTCAGCTTACTGGTTTTTGAATTAATGCGGCTTGGAACACCCTCAACCGTATGAGATCCATCCCAGAGATTTAATTAAATTTGCTTTATGGGCAACGCAACAAAAATCATGCATCAGTGCCAGTGCGAGTGGAAGTGAATAATATCTAAACAATTTCTGAATTATAACTCGTTTATTTCGGGGTTTTGGGTTTCCAGCCAGGTTTTTCCACAGTTGTCAGTAAATATTTGATATGTGAGCTTTTCCGCAGCTTGTGCAGCATTTAATTATGCCTCGAATAAACATGGCGACCGATATTTGGTTTTACTATTGCAATAATATTTTGCCCATCGGTCTGGTCTGATGGCTCTGGTCTGATTTTGACTCTCTCTCGTTTTAATGCATAAATAAATATTTGCCATCAAATGGAAAAAACCGCACAACCAACACATATATTTGTTCATGTGGAAATGAAAGAGAAAAAAAATCCAACAGCAGTGACAGGCATTAGATGTCGCTTAATAAACCCTAATAGTCTGTGGTCGCCTGTCAGTGTGTCTATCAGGAGCAGGGCTCACCCCACCCGTATCTATCAATTATGGCAGGAATTATGCTTTTATATTAGATATATATTTTCGTCGGAAAAACTAAACTAAAACTGTCAGAGATGACCGCAACCGTAAGCGTCGGTGCTCGCCGTTGGCAAATGCTTTTTGTGGTCGTTTCAGTTGCATTTATCGGTTTGACATTTACAGCCCAGGCCAGTGCACCCTTCAAAATAGAATGAACGAGCGTTGAACAGAATTGTATAAAAAATGCTTTTGTTTGTTCGTACCAATTGAAATTTACAATTATTTCATAGCTAATTTTTCCCCTCCTGGCAGCTCCAATTTGATTTGTTGCGGAAAATTATTCTGACTAATTGATTCGATTAACGCGTTGTGTAATTAGTTTTCACAGAAAGTTTTGAGACGGTTATTGATTTTGAGGTTTGAGAACAAAAGCTGGATAGCAGTACAACCTGCAAAAAAAAAAACAGAAACTGATCCTCTGACGAAAATGTACCTACATTGATTGTAGGCCTTATCGTAGACCCAATAGCGATGAGAAAGGGTTCTTCTAATTAATATAATTAAATACTAATATCATAACCAACATAGAACTGAAATCTGCCTGCTCTTGGCATGGTGTGTTAGTTTTGAGACCGGCATAGCTTAACTAATTGATTGGAAATTCCTGAAAAATACCTTTGACTACACTCAATATGTTTCTTTATATGTAAGTAAAAACAAAAACACTAAAGCATTTAATTTGTTAACAAAGTCGTCAACAGATCATCAAAGCTAAAAACATCTGGATCTAAGTTGGATTTATCTTGTGGCATTGATGTTGATGAACCCCTACATGCCACGGTCCGTATGGAAAGATCTATAGCAAACTTAGCATCTCTCGGCTATATTAATAATTGGTATCTTTAATAAATACAGTGCCAGCTAATGTTTTATGTGTTCATGCAGAAAAGTGCATTAGAGGATCAGCCATAATAGCAGAGCCACGAATTCCGTAATTTTCAGTGTGAATTTCCACTGAATTTCTATCTGAAAGTATCTTTTATATTATTTATGATTATGATTAACACAAATCACGAATGAATTATGAACAAAATGCCAACTAATTTCATAATACAATAATTTCACGAGCTGCATTGCAATTAGTAATATTAAAAAAAAACATGCACTGCGGATATGCATAATAGGAATGGAGATTGGCAGTTCGCGTGGAAAGAGAGTTTTCACAATTTGTTTAACTCCAAATTCCGCATAAAATATGTGCTAATGTGTGTATGACTGTGTGGAAATACCATTGCCGGCTTAGCAACTGTGTGGTGTATAATTAATGTAATCTGCTCCAACCCGCACCCACCCAATAGAGACATTCATGGAAAATATATGTACATATATACATATTCACCATGCGGAGTTGGGGTTATGTGGTTATGGTAGAGGAAACAGCTTGATATCTTTACGGGCACTTTCCACTACCTGTGGAAGCAACCTATGGTTCATCCATCATTAGTTGGACACAAAAAAGAAAGGATTTTATGATGTGGTAATGGCAAAATACTCGTAAAAAATTCCATGCATCCCTCTGTCCATGAAGTGCGAGGGAAAATGTAAGTGCTGTGAGTGTGTGCTCTGCGTGGGGTATACACACTTGTGTGTGTGTGTGTGTGTGTGTTGTGTATTTTTTATGTTTTATGCCTTTTGAGCAAACAAGTTGGCGTATTTTTGAGCTAAGCTCGCAGACATAAACTGTCGGCCACCCATACAAAACTAAGCCACAACTTCCGCAACGTGTCATTCAAGCCACCCACATCATTACGACCTCTCTCCACGCACACATGGATCCACCACTCACACAGATAGTCGTACACGTCCACGTACGTGCTAAGTTGTTATGGGCTCCACAGCAATGTACTACGTACGTACGTAACTCTCTGCTCTGTCGCATAACTTAGTTTTTTTATCCCGCTCCTCTCTCGCTTAATACAGTTTTACGGACACTGAACATAGGAACGGGGACGGACTGGGGTGGGGGATCTGCACTCCGCTGGCAAATACTTTAAAACGCATAAAAATTCCAACACGTCGTAACCTCAGTGCTTTTAACAGCTTCTCTTTGGCTCTAGTCCGTGGGCTTAACTTATCCTCCAACCAGAGAACGCGACCTCCCGCCCCACCAGGAGTCGGCAATCAACTGCACTTCCCATGCCACACCACAGAGTGAGAAAGAAAGAGAGGCGACTCCTCTCGCTTTGTTGAAAGTCATGCACATCAAGTGGAGTTGCAACAACAACAACAACTTGCTTCAGTTGGTGGTGGTGCTGCTGCTGCTGGTGCTGTCTGACGTTGGCGGTTCGCCCGACGTCTGTTCCGCTGCAGTTAACGTGCAAAGTAGCGCAATTTGTTGATAGCAGGTAAAATTTCATTTGCGGCCTCACTTTTTATTTTTGTATTCGAGTATATGTGGGTGCGGTTTACTGGCTTTCCCATCTGTACTGCCTTTTTTTTCTTCTATAATGCCATCTAATGATGTTGCCACCGACGATGGCGGATGAAGTGGCATACGGTGCATGTGCAAACTGTGGCGCATCCTAAACACGTTTTGCATGAATAATAAACGTAATTGTGTCGCCTTTTGCGAAATGAAGTTGAATTAAATTTTAAATTGAATTGCTCCAAGGGGAGGCATGAATTTCCAATGATAAACCTTGAATATAAATTTCATTATAGTTCTTGTATCTTTTTGGGGATAAATATCACTTTGTCGCAATCTGTGCAATTTACCAATAAAAACCTCTTGGATCTCGGCCTGGTTCAAAGTGCTTTAAGGTGTAGGTAAAAGCGTCAACGCCTCTTCCTTCGTCCTGGCAGTACATATCTCTGTGTTTGTTTGTGTGGCTCCTGCTGCTGCTGGCTGGTGCCTTTTAACTTTTGCATAAAAACAACGATGCCAGCAGCAGCATTTAGTGCCAGAGAATGGATGCAGAACCGGGACGAAGCCATGAACAGGACCAGAACCCGAGCCAGACCCCGCGCCAACATCTCCTCTGTAGAGTCTGACCGAGTAAAGGATGCAACTTTCAGCTGCTAAACGAAAATATAAAACACTTAACTCGACGGCAGGCGGCTGCGACACTCGCTCCCTATACGAAACGAGCCAGATCCTGCTGCACCTTGCTGTGTGCCAGTGTGGCACTGGCAACAATTTGATGGCACTCTCTCTCCCCCCTCTCTGCCTGGAGCCGTGGGCAAACAAACAAGTGTAACCGGCAGACAGCCAACGGCAGAACCCGAGCCCGAGCCCCCCTGCAGAATTGGGTCACTTTTTGGCAGCCAAAAACAGTGAAACAGGAAGTGCGGAAAATTTGGCCTAAAAATAACATTTATGTGCGACTTCCTCACTTGATTACGATTATGGGTATTACGATATGAAAGAAGGTTGGGGTAAATATTTGATTATGTGCTAAAGAGAGAAAAAAAGAGCACGCTGTGCCCCACTGTGCCGCACTTACTAGAATTTCGCCATTGAAAACGTGGCTTACAATGACCATGGAGGCAGGAGACTGGCAAACTGGCTGACTGGCAGGCAGGACTTTAATAAATAACAGCTGAAGTTTAAATTGCCGTTAGCATAAATTATGAGCAGTTAGAGATGTTGCAGGCAACGCGCCGCCATTTTGGCTGCACAGCTTCTACTTTTGCCGTTGCCTTTGCCATTCATTTCCCTTTCCATTTATTTTGCTTTTTTTTGGCAAGCATCTTTTTGAATAGCCTAAAGAACTAGTTCCACCGCATAGCACAGACATACACATATATATATACGTATGATTTTTATTTTATTTTTTCTTGTTGGCCAGCCACAACAGAAATGTGAAGAACTTTCCGAGCGCGCGAGGCAAAGTGAGATTTCAATTTGGCCTGGCGTTCGCCCGCTTTTTATGGCCGACGGAGGAAACATTGCCCCAAACTCATAAAGCATTTCCGGCACTCATGAATCGGTTTTGGTGCGGCTCTTGGGGCTTTTAAACCCCCAACAGCCCTAACCAAAAATATTGTGATGTTTGGAGCTAAAGTTGTTTGCTTTTCTTCTCGCTCCGTCCAACCCAACCCCCGAAAGAGTAGAAAGAAAAGCCTTAGAAAATGGAACGCCGTCTGGCGGCTTCCGGCTTCCTGCATCTCCACGGCTTGCCATTATGGAGCCGCCTTCATTCCCTGGTTCTCATGGCTAGAAGAGAACTAGCTCTATGCTCCCATGCTCCCCTACTTTCTAGCGTTTTTGTCTCACTTTTCTCCACAGCACAGCCGCAAGTACATATTTCCCCCAGCAATTGTTTGCCAGCGAATAAAAGAAAAGCCTCGGCTCTACTATACTTTACCCTTAACCAGACATAAAGCGGGTTTCAGTATGCGGATAGGGAGCTCCAGTGGTGGAGTGGGGTTCCAGTAGCATTGCCAGTGCCAGTGCCAGTGCCATGCCAGAGATTCCATGGAATGCACCGGCCATGACAGGCCACAGGGCGCACATTCTAGTCAAGGGGATTTTTGGCATATTTCTGTTGGTGTGAGGGTCTGTGTGTGTGTGCCTGCTCGAAAAAAAGAACATTTGAATGCCAAGTATTCATAGCAGCGACAGTGAAAGGATATGAATATCAACGCTGGTTAGCGTGGGCCTTCCTTCGGCTATCCATCATTCAACGTTTTAAGCCCAGGCACAATTGAATCAATGGCAAACACTTAATTTAATGAATATTGAAACCAGTTATACTCTCAACGAGATTTAGTTGAATGACAAATGCAGGCAACTGCAAAACACCCATCCTACACAGCAGATAGGTGGAGGCCAGGCACTCGTTCACAATGTCAAATGGTTGACAGGACACAAAATGAAACCAAAACAGGAAGAGAAGATTAGTATTGATTGAGGATTGGATACTCTTTCTGTGAAGAGTGGATTAATGCATTGATTAGGGTTATTAGGGGATAAATTCATCATATTTTAAACTAAATAAAAAAGAACTGCAAAAGCATCAGCTTGCCTTAATGCTATTCTATTCTTAATCTCCAATCAGTGTTCCAAAATATTGTTGTACCCCTTTTTTCGTATAGGGTATATAAAGTGAAAAAAATGCAAATCTGTGGATGGTATTCGTTTTTGTTTTCGATTGCAATCATCGACAGCGAACAGTGGCACAATAAATATAACAATTGAAATGGCAAATACTTCGAATAGGAATGGAATTCTCGCCCATACATTCTCGTCGTATATGTACGTGGTATATGCACCAACTGAAAATCTCTAATAAAAAAAGACATTTCCATTACTGCGATTAAATCGTCAGGACAAAGGCCACACACAGAAACACACAGAATGACAGAGAAAGATATGAAGAGAGAGGGAGAGAGATAGAGATTCACAGATAGAAAAAGAGACTGAAGGCAATTCCGGGACTGTGGTCTTGCGCTGTCTAGTGGCAAAGGATGAGAGTCGTTGTCCTGTGATAGGATTCCGAGTTGCCTGCCATTATTTCAATTGTTGTTGTATATATTCAATGGATGCCACCTCCTCTTTCTCCCGTCCCTCCATTCGATATTATGAACGTTTTATGTACATTGCCGAGAGGAAAGGAAACTGTGGGGCTGGACCATAAAATATTTTCCCGCCGCCGCATTTCATATCAATTTTTACGGCTGACAGTATTAGCCCGGCATAATTATCAATCTTTATGGCCCCAAGAACCGAAATGGTCAACAATAAAATGCCAACGTAGATCTGCGATAACGAATGCGCCCTAGCCAAGGGGTTGGATAGGATAGAAGGGATATTCTATAGAAGGATGCACCCACAAAAAAGAATGTCCTGGAACACATGTGCGTGTGTGTGTCGGTGCACACAGGCTGATAAAATTAGCAATTCGAAACCATTTGGCTACAGCAGGGCGCTGATAGAAAGAGCGATAGTGAACGGGAGTGGGAGTGGGAGAGAGGAAGGAAGGAAACCTGATATTAGCAGCAGATATATTCATGTGGCCTGCTGTCAGGCGGAAAGTCAGTGGCGGCATCATGGCAACGTGGCGTATGTGTGCTGCCCCCGCTCTTTTGTGGTCTATATGCCAGCGCTGGGTTTTTGGGGGCGAAGCGTGTCGAAGCATCTCAGTTGGAAAATGGGTGACAATTCATGACAGAGCATGAGCATTTGCGCGTAATTTACATATACCCAACCAACCCAACCGTACGAGTATTCCTACGTTTCGATGGTCCAATGGTTGCCTGGTTACTGGTGCCCCGTGCCCCGTATCCCACAGCTTCCTGCATAATGCCACAAAATTCTCTGGCGAATTTTGGCCGCCAGTTTTCGGCTTTGACTTGACTGCACTTAGCCCTCATGGTACACACTCATTCTCTTGCCTGGCACAATGTGCTTAAAATTCCGTTTTCCATGCATTTTCCACACAGCAAACGACAACAACAGCAGCAAAAATAAGCAGGAAAACTGAGCGAAAAATATAACACCAACTGGAAAGGCAACTTCTCTAGCTCACACACATTTTAAATGCAAATGACACCCAATGGAGAGATAGGAACAGAACAGACCACGATGGGAGCGGGAAATGGAAGTGGCTTTGGAGTCTGCAGATTAAAAGTGAAATTAGTTTTTCCCCTCTAATAAGCCAATTCCTAGGCGCCCGGGCCCGGGCCCGCGCCTGCTGCCCCGAAATCAGTTAGTGGCTGAATGAATTTCAATTAGGGCAAAATGGAAGCCAAAACTATTCCATTTCCAAAGTGTTTGCAGATTTCAGAGTGTTTCAGATAATGTGCCTGGAGGGTTGCCAAATGAAAAATAATTAAATTTGTTGCAATCCCAAAAAGAATTATTGAAATGACAGCAATTATTTCAAGGATTGCCAACAATCTCATGTATTTCAGTTATAAACTTTTCAAATTTTGCAATAAGTTCAGAAGCGAATTATTTTGCGACTTATTTTTTCTTGGCTTGCTTGAGGCGTTTTTCCTTCTTATGTTGGGCCTTCTTCCACTTCTTCCAGTACACTTGTATCTTAGAAGCCGCCCGATTCATCGTAAAGTTCAAGATGCGGTTCTGTCGAGCGCGACGCTCCTGATCCTCGCGCTTCACCACCACTTCCTTGTAGACGCGCTCGATCTGCCGGTGCCCGACCAAGAAGGCATCCAACTCCTTTTTAGCTTTTGCGTATTGATTGGTAAGCTCCAAGTTCTCAACCATTTTGTCGCGAATACTGTGATCGTACTTCTTAATGAGGCCTTGCAGCTGCAGGAGAAGTTTGTTTCTGGCCGAGGGGCATTATTTGGTTATTGGCAGCAGGATCTATGCGTGCGACACTCACTTTTCCTCGCGTTCCTCCATCTCCTGATGGAGATTCTGTTTTGTTGTCTGCTCATAGATGTGGCGATCCTTCTCCAGCTCTGCCTCGAGTACCGCCTGCTTTTCCAGACTTTCCTTTTGATTCTTCTTCACGATCCGAGTGCTCTTGTCCCTGAGGTGTAGAGAAATCAGTGAGTAAGTTATTGATCTCATGTTAGGGGTTGGCCCTTACATCTCATTTTGTATCCGTTCATTTTTCTCTCGCTTTTTCTTGGCCAACATATCCTCATACTTCTTGAGATAGGCCTCCTTGGCGGCCATCTTCCACTTGAGTGTCATCTTCTGCGAGTGGATTTTCTTCTTCAGGAGATCAACATTCGCTTTAATGCCCTCGTTCTCCAGATACATGGCATGCAGCTTCCGCTCCTGGGCAATGACATCCGCCGAAGTGCGATACAAACGCTCTTTGGCCAAATCGAAGAGCATCTCGAAGGCCACCAGAAGCTTCTTCTCGTCCTCCCTCATATTGTTGTAGAACGTGGGGAACATCTTGTACATCTGATGGTTCCGCTGGAAGTAGTCGATGATCTTAATTATACCATGGTCCATCAGGGGAGGACGCTTTTCCTTCAGTATGAATTCGCGGCGCCGCACAAATGACTCCACGAGATCGACGGCCTTCTCGTATTGGGTGCCCCTGAGGACCTTGGCCATAAAAGTGGGATTGTCCAAGAGTTTCGGCAATATCATTGAGATCTTAACGCGTTCTATCGACTCGGCCACCACATCTATTACACATCCAATTTGTATGAGCCGCACACTAGAGAAATCTGTGGGTATTCATGAATGTCCTGTCTATCTGTAGAGGATTCTGGTGTTCTGTTTACCCACCATGTAGTGCCATCTTTATGGCATTCACCTTCTCCTCCGGCTTCTTCTTGCCACGCAACATCTCCGTCATACTCATCTTGGCGTCTGGTGTTTTTTGTTTTTGTTGCTTGTTTTTATTTTTTGCTCATCTAAAATATGTATTCAGATTCCCAAAAGTGTGTGTGTGTCTGTTACCCTGTCAGTGTAATTCAATTCTGAATTGAAATGCACAGAGATTCTGTGCCGTTTGACTCTGATCTCCCTGAACGATGATGCCAATTTATGGACATGAGTTCTCGTATTTACACAGAAAACAAAACGGGGACAGACAGAACCTTCCTTACCCACATCCATCTCTGGCCCAAGTTCGTTGGTTGAGCTCAAAACTTAGTCAAGTGGCAGAGCTCCACGGATGACATTGCATCGCGGGACGGGTCTAATACTGCTGCTGCTGCTGGGGGCAAAGTTTCTAAACAAATGCCTGGGAATTTGTGACTGCAAATGCACCGCTTTCCGCTTCAGTTCTCTCTTTGCACTTCCCGGTCCAGCTTCAGGTTTTGTTTTTTTTTCTTCGTCACTTTTGTGTTGTGTTTCATGTTGCCAGAAAAATTTATGGCCACCAATATTTTTGGCCATGCAAAAGACGCGCATAGCAGTGGCGTAGAGCAAATGGCAAACAACTTGCACCAGACCGTCACAGACGATGCACCTAAATAAACAAATGCATGAGGCTGGGGTGGAGAGGGGATGTTGCTGCAGTTGTGTCGGTGTGGTGTTCGTGGTGCATTTTTGGGGAACAATAGTGTAGCTGTGCCGTAATTTGTATGCACAACGCGGACAGCCTCAGTCGGCTCCGCCTCCGCCTGCAGATTCACATCCTCACTCCCAACCAACGACTGGATCCGAATTGAGCAGCATGCGCCAGTGAACTCTTTCGGATTTATCTTTATTCGCCATGTTCTTTGTGTTTTAATACTCTAACTGGTGGGAAGGGTGTGACAGAATAGGTAAGAAAATGAAGCAAATCTACTAATCTTCTTTGGAATTCTGAGCAGATATTACTCTTAATTGAATATGTTTCGATTTGATATTTGGCCTAGGTTGAATGATTCCCAGTTGAATGATTCCCATTATTTCCTGAACAGTTTTTGCTGCAGTTTTTTACACTGTTTTCTCTTCTAAAGAGTACAGCACAATTCGTTACATTGTTGTGCTTTTCCAATCCATTTTTTCTGTCACATTCTGCTGTTCTTGTTGCTGTTGCTCTGCGCTTATTGCATTTGTCTCGATTCGTTTGGTTCGCACAAAAACAAATTGCCGGAAGTATGCAAATGTATGATGCAGCTTATCAGATATTGTTTGAGAGCCTCTGCTCTGCACTGCACTGTTCTCTCTCGCTCTATCTTTATCCTGTGTGGCCGTCTGAATGGGTGGGTGGGGTGTCTGAGTTTCAGATACAGGCACACTGGGCGTGCCACTTGGCACGACTCTCATTTGCCTTGCAAAAAGACGCACCAGAGACACTCGCCACCAAAAAAAAAAAAGGCGGCGCTGGGGAAAATTGGAATTGAACTGTCAGCTGCAGTCTGGGCCTCAGGAATGGAAATGGATATTGAATTATATGTTCACGTTATGCTAAAGATCCATCAGATGACACCAACAGCGAAACACCAAGAGACGAGATTTAATTAAAATATTTATTTGGCCAAACAAGAGATCAGAGAAAAATTCTGGAGGAGAGATTCCTGGAATTTCTTGTATGCCATTGATGGGAGCAAAAGTCTTTGCGTTTAATGTAATTTCTATATTCCAATAAAAGATCACTGAAGTGCCCCGGAACCCCACGCCTAACATTCTATTTATAGACTTTCTTTTGATGGATTTTTGACTGCCATTCATTTTCATCGCCTTGTTCTGTCTTCCTTCGAATAGTCTACGGTTTTCATCGACTCTTATTTCATGAGCAAATTAATCCATAGGCGACTGCCAGTTGATGTCATTTATCATCGCTCCAACTTTTTGACATTTATGCACTGTGACAAGCAGCAGGTCCCAGCAGTGACACAATCGCCAGGACTCGACTCTCTCTCTCTCTCTCTCTTGTTTTCGTCTAGGATCTGTGTCCGAGTTGCTGCTGCTGTTGCCGCTGCTGTTGATGGTGTTTATGGGCCCTTACAAAAGTTTCCTTTTCGGACAGTTGACATATTTTCTTTTAACTCTGCTACATGACTATTTGATATTTCCATATTTCTTTAGACACACTTTTCCGCACATCGAAAAAACTGAGAAGAGAGCAACACCCACAATACCTTCCCCCCCCTATTGATAAATGATTGTGATGGATTTTTATTGCTCAGGGCTGCCGTTCCTGTTCTTTGGCGTCTGCTGTCCTGCACGACCTGGTCCATGGTTCTGTCTGGGGTGGGGTCGGGGTCTGGGCCACATGTATGACACGCTGTTGGCCGCCTGCTTATCAACAGTTTAGCGGCTTGTGTGCCTGACAGGTGAATAAAAGCAGCTGTCAACACTTTTTTATCCCTGTCTCTGTAGGTAGTCCCGTAGCTGTAGCCCTCTCTCTGTGTGTGGGCAACTGAAAGTCCATTAATATTGATATAGAATATATTGATTTTCCTTTTTGTTTCCCTTCCTGTTTTTTGCCAGCAACAGCAACAAGAGCAGCAGCCGCAGCTGCTGAGTAGGGAAATGATTGAGGCAGGACATCATGGCTCATGTGTGTGTGGATGTCTGTCTGTGGATTAGAAGATTAATGTTTCTGCTTGTCTGTTCTGCGGGCAGGGTGGGAGATATCCATCCCAATTCCTAAATAAGTTGTCTGAGAATCTCTCTTGAATCGAGTCCTCGTACCGCAAATGCTTACAATTAGCTTCTGGCAATTGTGTGGTTAGAGAAAGGAAAAGCACTTGGATATTGATTTGCCTTTTTGGTAAGCTTATTAAAAATAAATTGCTCGGCCATCCATCAAATGTACAGAGAGACAGCGGGAAGACAGAAAGAAAGAGAAAACCTGAAAGAAGTGAATGGAAAGACACACACAGAAATTCGTTAAAGTCAAAGTGGAGAAATTGGCAAAATCCGAATGCATTTTACGGTCACAAAATCAATTCAATGGCTCAATTTAAGTCATTTGGGGCGTGGCAACTGCACTTTACAGTTCCTTCCACCCGTGACTCCTGCTTGGCCATGCTTTACAAAATTTTATGTATAATTTATTGATACACTCAGCTGGCAATAAAAATTGATGGCAGAAACACATTTACACACGCAACGACAGAAGGCAGTGACCAGAGGGCAGAGGGCAGAGGGACGGCTTGGCCATAATTTTTCATTTCATTGTTTTGTGGGGAGTCGTGGGAAAATACGCGGCGTAGGATAAACAAAAACACAAACAGCAGCCCAAAAGTAGCAAAAGGCAACAACCAACCAGAAATAAAGAAGAAAAGCGAAGAAAATCCCCGACGGAAAGGGAAGCGAATTTTTGTGATATTTATTTGCAGAGAGGAATTCAAAAGGAAGAGCACTACGAACGGTGGAGCTCAAAAAGAAGAGCAGCTTGGTGTGGAGAAAAAAGAAGAGCAGTTCAGGGAAAAGAAAACCAAAAAAAAAAGACGGGCCAGTATCACTTCGCAGGAGCAGAAAAAAGAAGAAAGTGGCACAACTGAGAAGCGAACTGCAATAAAATCAAGCAGACAAAACAGACGGAAATGAAAGCACAAAAATAATGTCCCCGGCAGGAAAATGGGCAAAAAAAAAGGAAAGTGAAAAGTTTTCGCCCGAAGAGAAACTAAATCCAGAAACCAAAGGCACAGCGCAACGCTGTTGATTTTATTTTTATTGCCATAATTTATATATATGCACAGATCCGTTCTGTTAAGAAGAGCACAGCGTGGAAAATGGAAAAGTGGGGCATATACACATGAACATGCATACATATGTATGTATGTGTGTACGTAGGGCAGTGCACATTAAACCACAAGCTAGGGATAGTACTGAAGTGCGGGGCAATGGATTTATACCGCACTTTAAGGCAAATGAACAGCAGACTTATTTTCTTTTTCCTTCATTCTTTTCGTTTTTTTGTTGTACAGCTGCAAATCATTTTTAAATGCTAACAAATTTCCAGCAAAAGTTATGAAAAGTGTGGAGAAAAGCAAAGAAAATGAGAAATATATCAATCTTACACGCAGAAGTCGGTCGCAGAGAGGAAAAGCGCTGAGTGGAGCGACGGGAAGAGGGAAATTCAATAAAGTTTAAGAATGTTATTATTAAAAAAATAGTATAGCATACCTATGGGCGCCAACTGCAACTGCAGCTGCTGTTTTGTGTGTGTGTGTGTGGCCAAGTTTTTCTATACCATACAAATAGCCAAGTTGTACTGCGAATTTTAAAGAATTTTTAATGGCTTCCCCTAGCATACTTTACACCCTCCTGCACGCCACGTTCCTTTCAGTCTTCTCCTCTTCCTTAAAGTTTTCGCTTTTCTGACTAGAGTTTTGCGCTGCCTTTGCCTTGGCTTCCACTCGCACTGTGCCGTGCCGTGTCGTGGCTGTGGCATTGCCTGATCATTTACAATTCCACATTTTGTAGCACTCCGTGAATTATGCTTTTCATGTTTGGCTTTTTCCCAGTTTCTGCTTCGTTTTCTTCTTATTTTTCTTGGTGGTTTCTACTTAGGTTTCCGCTCTGCTGGCTCGGCGGTGCCCCATTTGTGTGTCTGCGACCTTTGGGGCGACAGCCGTAAGTACGCTAATAGCTTCTTATGACAGCAATGAGGGAAAATCATGCGAAAATTCAATTTTATGTCTTACTTTCAACGAAATGAAAGAGCAGATGAATGTGCAGGTCCGACAAGAAATGTCATCGCCAGAAAGGATGGACTAAGACAAAAGCTTTTGGTTTTAATTAATTGATTCTGCATCGAGAAGCAGCTTCTGCAGTTAATTAAATCCCAGTAATGGATGAAATTCTGCCTTAAATTCTGCCTCTATGTGCCAGGCATGCCTGCCCGGCACAAAGGATTCAATTTGTATGAAAATACCAGCATAAATCGTATTTATTTTTTGCCCTCGATTGTTTCTTCACTTCAGTGTGTGCGAGTATGTCAGTCAGAGATGCATATGTGGATGTCAGACACACGAGTGTGTGCTTACCGATCGACGTCAGCCACAGGGACACAGACAGAAACAGGGACAGGGACAGAGGCTGCCAAAAAAATTGGATATTGCAGGCTTTTGGGGGCGGGCAGACCAATGTCCATGCATTTAATAAGAGTCTTTCAGGTGGGCATCATCCATCCACTCCCAACGGCTAAGTGAGTGGAATTGTTTTGACATCAAGTGCCGCAGAATTCCCAACAATTGAAACAAATTAAGGCAGAGGGGAAATGGAATCCGGACCGTTCTACCGTTGTCCGCGCGTGTTAACAAAACCACTTTATGCAGTTCATTGAAATCATTTTCCTCACCCTTTATTTGCACAGTTTTTCTGAATATTTTTCTGCTACTGCTGCTCCTTCAGAGCAATTTCCAGAACGTGGACACATGCAGAGACACACAGATCATAATTGTTGTCGTTGGCAGTTGTAAATTTGTAAATTGCTTCACAGGAGATGGGGGAGAAGGCGGTCGGCCTCTGAGGTAGGTATATCCTGGGGCATGGGGCAACATCTGTTCCAGCCAGGCACTCATTCATTTTTAATGTATGCAACTGCAATGGAGCCACCCCCTCCTGCTCCAACCGTCAGCTGAAGAGCAAATGTCGTGCAACTTTTCCATGCCACAGAGCATGCCACCACCCATCACCCACTTATCGTATGGCATTGGCGGCTGCTGCTGTTCAGCCTTTGACATTGCTTGCACAAGCGGATATTGAGATATTGAGCCATTGAGTCGCTAATTGGCGATAGCTTCCCTGGGGCGTAAGTGTGCTACATACATATTCGGTTCTTTCATTTTAAGTCTTAAATTTAAAGGAAAAACTCACCAATTGTCATGCAGAGTATGCCGCCAAGGAGCAGCTGCGTCAGCTGTGGCCCATGGACGGACCAGGGGCCCGTTTCGAGGGTATGCATTTTGCTGCGACTTCGATTCCTCCACAGGCGCATGCCGTTCAGCGGCAGAGTCAACACACTCGGATCGGATGGGGAGCTCGAGCTCTCTTACTCTGGGGGCGAAAATGTTCACTTACGCGGAAATAATGCACAGCTCGGCACTTTCACTGGCGGATGATGGCGGATGTGGTTGTAGCCAGCGATGATGGAGCGCAGAAGGCGGCCCGAGCCGCACCACAGATATGTGAAAGCATTTAACACCAGCGCCTGCGAGTTGCGGACTGCTGTATACTGCTGAAACTGCGGAACACGCAACGCCGCGTATACGCAACGGTCATAAACAGCCCAGCCGAGCAGAGCAGAGATTCCACTCGAGAATATCGCAAACGTTCACAAATTTCACCTTCGACTGAGCTCCACGCCGACTGACAGTTTGTCAAATAATAGTTTTCGCTCTCGTTCACTTTTTGCTTCGTTTTATGCTTTATTTATTTTTTGCGATATTTGCGGACGGTTTGTTTCGGATTCTCCCTTTTGTTTTATGGGCAATTTTATGTCGTTAGTTGTTCATAAATTGTTTTTATTTAATATTTATTTTTGGTGTTCAATGTTTCATTCATTTCGACAGGCAGTTTGCATCTAATGTGATTTCTCCTCTTTGGGCCATAAATAAACGCTGGCTCTTGGCCATTTTTCTGGGCTGCCCCGCCGCGAGAAGCAACATCTGTCCCTTCTTTCGAATCAAATCGAATTAAATCCAGAGAGCATTGGGCGTTTATCTGGAATGAAACAAAAGGCAATCGAGGGTTTTTAATGTGTCTTTTAATAGAGAATCGATTTATTTTCGTCGATTGCTAAATGCCAAGTGATTTACTATGCCCCTAGCTATCTCTCCACTCCACACTCCCCATTGTCTCCTTTCCCTTTGTCCGAGTGTGTGTGTGAGTGTGAAGAGTGCCCGCTAGCACACATGTGTGTTGCTATTGTAGATAATTGCTTTTGGCCGGGTTCGAAATTCGTGTTTAGTTTGGCGCTCAATTAATTATCTCAAGTTTCGCCATTTGTCGGCTTAGTTGGCCGGCCCGAGAATCGGCATTGGCCCCAGGGCTGAATGTTCCTGCAATTTGTATTCAATGCGGCAAATTACTCCTTCCACCAACCCCTTGAAACATCTCCAATACTTGTCAATTAATTAGGGAAACCAGCCCACCGCCAACACACCCACCTACCCCAGTGTCACGACACAGATTTCAGTGTGTTTTCACTTGAGTCTCAGAACAAGCACTCAAAAGAGGTCTGTCTCCTCCTGAAGTTTTTGTAGAATATCTCTTTAGTATTCGAAGCCATTTCAATATCAAACTTAATTTTAAATTGTTGGTAATCTTTTCTTGAAGAACTTTCACCGCTCGATGCATATTTCACTTCTGATTTACTTGGGTAATTTTTCATACAATTTTTGCCCATGTCGGCAGCAGCTGGCGGCGCCGTCAAAGTGGCACACGACTGACGCTCTCTCTCTCTCCCTTTCTCTCGAGGGAGCACAAAAAAGACAAACACAAATTTATCTTCATAATTTTCCACACGTTACTGGCAACTCATCTGCATAAGCACGCACATGTGTGAGTGTGAGTGTGTGTGTGTGGATGCGGATGTGTGTGAGGGACCATGCAACGCTGCAAAACTGTCACCGAAAGTGAAAGGCGGAGGCAGTAATGCTGAAAGCACACTCCGGGCCCCCCTAGCGAATGTAGGCCACTGGCAGCACAGAATGTTGACTTTAACGTGGCCCTCGCCTTTTGAAATTTATGCAGCTGACGGGCTACTCACGAAGAGAAAGGGAGAGGGAGATATATAGAGAGAGAGAGAGAGAGCGAGAGGCAGCATCAAAACTGGCAGCCGTTTTAAAGGCTTAGAGCAGCAGCAGCCTGAAGTCCGTCCGACTGGTGTGCTTTCATTAATTTTTTTTTTTGGTTTTCTCTAAGCCTCGGAAGTTGAAAGATTTATGCGGGTGGAACCCAACCCGAAAATAGAGAGAGAGAGAGAACTCAGAAGAGTGTAGGAGTGGAGCCTTCGGGGCCTTGTAATTAAAAAGTTTGTCTAAACAATTCTCTAATTAAATATTATTCGTCTGGAATTGCTGTTGCGAACAAACAGCTTTCGCTTCGGTTTGGTTCTGCCTTCATGTGAATATTAATGACTTGACATTCTAGAGGTGGTGAAACTTTCACTGGGGGGTGGACAGTCACTTGCCCACAAATGTTGCTCAATTTTCGGTTGGAGCTGCCATTAAAACAGGAAACAACAGCAGCGGCAGCAGCGGCAGCATCTCTCGTCAACCCTTTAATGGCTTAATGACGAAACCACCAAGTACATAGTTGAGCGACCAAATTGAGCAGCACTCACTTATTCCAGGCGACTGGAGCTGGAGTCGAACACTTCACAATGAAAGAGTGAGAGTGAGAGAGGGACACAGGGGACACAGTGGAGAGGTGTTGTAGCATCCCTTAGTAATGTAAATTAAATGGCATTTGAAAGTAAATTTGGCACCAGTCACCAGCAGTTTATTTGTCATCTCATTACCCATTGATCTGCTGCCTGGATGAGGCTGGAGTGGTGTGCTTCACAGCATTCAATTATTGTAATTGTCTAGAGGGTGATTTCATTTAATTTGTAAAAGCAAAAACCCTCTGCCATGCCTCAATTCAATTGCGAGACTAGACTGATTCTTATTCAAAGTAGTTTACACCATTTTCTAGGCGACTAACTATATATGAAAACTAAATTTGCTACAGCTTGTGGCACTACATCATTCTTGCCGCTATTCCCATCCAGTCAGCCAGCCAAAGCCAGCCATAGCCAGCCAAAGCCATCCATCCATCTGTCCTGGGGGTCTGCGGGACTGCGGGTCTCGGGGGAAATTTATCTAAATGTTGTTTCAAAACTTCAACTTGTGCGCCTCCTTTCATGGCTCTGGTTCTCCACTGCTACTGCTACAGCTATAGCTACAGCTACGGCTCATGGCTTTGTTTCTCTCTGGCTGTGGATTTTTTTTTTCACACTCTCTCTGAATCAGTTTTTGGTCCGGGGTACTGGGATTGGCCTCTCCTCGAAGTTGACACGACTAAAGACATTACACAACAGATTACGTATACGGCATACGAGAGAGGGGTCGGCTCAAGGCAGAGAATTTTCCCATTAAAGTGTGCTGCTGCTGCTCTTGCTTATGCTGTACAACAAATTGTTATGGCATTGCCTAGCGCCTGTGTGTGAGTGTGCGTGTGGGTGTGGGTATGGGCGTTCCCCTTCCCCACCATTCTCGAGCTACTCTTTTCGAGCTCTGAATTAATGTCTGTTGCCCCCAGCAGGCGGTGGCAGGCCCCTTTCATTTGCTGTAGTCCTGGCTCCCGAGATGTTTATCTTAACATCTATAAAAACATCTACTACATCTGGATGTTAGTGTGTGTGTGTGTGTGTGGAGCATGTTCATGTGATGTCCATGCCCCTGGCACGTGCAGCTCTCATCATGAAGTAGTCTAGTCAAAATAGTTTTCCTCGCCTCCGTCACTACGTCACTCCGCTACTGCGCCACTCCGATTTCTGGCAGTTTCTCAGTCTGTCAGCGGCTCCGGGTGGAGTGGCGTTGAGTGGAGGCTTTACTGTTGCTTTTAAAAGCTTAAGCTGGAGCACACAAAAACACTTTCCCCACATTCTTAATGAATGCTTCTGCCGCTGCTGCTGCTTGTTTTCCGCAACACACACAAACATGATGCCCAATATAAATTCTACAGTTTGTGTTTAAGCTGTGGAAATGTATTTCTATAGTTGGAAAATTGATTCCCGGGCATAACTATTGCTCAACTAAGTTATATATTTGCTTTTGCAAAAGTATAAGCAATCTTAAACAGCAGAATTTTGCCACGAAAGGCAAAGCGAAGCTCTCAATTTCTTCAGTTTATGGCTTTTTTACACACACATGGAATATACTCCGTCTTCGGGCATCGCAAGTAATTTTTTTGCTTTGTTTTTGAAGACGAAAATAATATGTGAAGGGTCGGTCAGTCTGAAGGAGTCGAGGGATGGCTTTGGGTAAGGAGAGACCCAAGTGGAAACGGAAACTATTACACTGGGCAGCGAAAAAGTCTATAAAAGCAAATGTTGCCTCCCATCCAACGCCTTGGTGGCCACGGGGCCCCAGCACGGCTGGCAACAGCCGAGCGGCAACAACAAATAGCGGAAAATAAAGTCGGCTATAAAAATCACAGGTTTATATACCATTTTCAGTAGCACGAAAGGCCAGTTGCAGCAGCGGCAGAAGACTCAGCGACAGAGGCACACATCACAGTTCAAAATTGTTGTTGCTGAGAAGCACTTTAAACAGCGATTGAGTGGCGGCCCCATACCCGAAAAGGAAACCAAGAAAAACTTGCCAAAATGTGCGAGAGAGAGAGAGAGAGGGAGAGAGAGAGAGCACATGATTACGTCAGCATCGGAATCTGGCAGTGTGTCACTTGCCAACCGCCTTCGTTGCTGTCGTCGTCGTCGTCGTCATTGCGCGCGTACTATGGAAAGTTAATCGAGAAAAGTGGAAAAGACAGTTGAAAGTTTAATCTTCAATTGAAAGTTTCGACATTGCTCCACGACGAATTTAAGTAAACCCCCAAAACGATAAACTGGAACCAAAACAAAATTATAAATAAACCCAAATTAGATGTGTAGGAATTTGGAGAATATTTCCTGGATATTGTTGCCTTTCCTTTTGGGGGCCTTTTTCACCACCCACAGTGGCTGGCGCGTGTCTTCTTTGATGGCACATCATAAATCAGATGAGACTCGCCCCATGCCCACACACGGGACTACCATAAACTTTGATCTGTTAATAAATTGCGTACACTTAATCATCTCTCAGGTAGCTACCAAGCAAAGTTTTGCCCAACCAATTTATACACAGGGTATAAGTTAGAGTATGTATATATAAGTTTGCAGAAATATTCACAGTCATTTATTCATATGCCAATCTGTGCAAAACTTAAGCAAACAGAGTTCGGAGCTAAGAATTATTACTGGGGCTGCTGACTAAAAATTTAATTTATGGCTCAGGCTGACAGATTACTCATACGCATCGTAGGAACGGAGGTCCACTCCACTTTGAATGCATTATGGCAAGTGAATCCACACTTGTTTCTGCCGTCCAGCCCGCCGAAGGCCCCAATGCAATTAACACATACACCCAAGCCACTTAGCGATAGGCTCTCATCTCTCATGAGAGTGTGAGAGAGGTAATCGCTGCAGCGCACTGTGTGTAAAATGTTGGCCCAAATTGGGGATCCACTTAAATGCAACATCAAGCCGACCATCGCATCGCCATCGGATGGGTGGGTGGATGGGTCGGGTTGGGGTCAGAGTAAACCCACCAGCAAATTAGGTAAACTAATCAATGCAAGTGCATTTGTTCTGTCTGCTTGCGTGTTTGCGTTTGTGTGTGTGTGTCGGATGTCGGGGAGGATTTTCCAGGTGGTTCGATGTCAATTTTTGCTTCACTTTGCACATTACTCGCTTGCTCATTTCCCGCTTGCTCTCTGTCTGTTTACGTGTGCGTTCCATGCAGCTTAAGCTTTATTTGTCTGTGTGTGCCACCACATGAAACAAAGGCAAATATAGATCAAGAATTTCTCGAGCACCCTCACACATACACACCGTGTGATGATGCTGCAAATTTTCGCATTAATAAATCTTTTGTTTGCCTAATAAATTTCCAAACAGCAAACGTTTCAGCCATTTT